CCAAAAAGTGAAAAAAACTACAAAAAAGTAAATAAATAAGCTGCTTTGGGACGAAATTAAGTATCGATGTAATAAATATAGCTTCCAAAGTAATTATTTGAAACATATAGATTCCATCTTGAAAGATTAAAATTAGCTATCGGCTAAAAAATTAAATTCTAAAAATAAGAAACAAGCCGATTCTAGGAGCTTAGTGTTCAAAATGTTTTACAGAAGAACAAATTGTTCTTCTATAAGGGACAGGTTGCATAAAAGCTTTGTTACCAATAATGTTCTGACATTTTATGGGTTGTATAAGGTGAACTGGGCCTATATGTGTTGGTTTAGACAGGATTAAGAAAACTATTGTAAATTAGTTTATGGTTGATCAGAAACGACCAGTCTACAACGAGAGGATATGTTAGGAGGAATCACATGTAATGTTTAAATTTATTGTATTATAATAGAAACGATCTTAATTAATTGACTTTTAGAACAAGGATTTGTCGTGGATTTGGTGGATCTTCAACCGAAACATCATTTGTCTACCTTGTTGTCTCATAAATATCAAGAATATTCATTTCGTTAAAACATTCTTAAAAGGTGTTTCACTATAAAAAAGAAAATAGCCTGTCTTTATTAAAACGATTAAGAAAAATAACGCTAGAATTAGTTATTGTTTTGAAATGTTGATAAAATTACATGTTCCGAATAACCTGAGAAAATAATATATCGAAGGGTTTGTTTGTTTTATTGCAAAGCCATATTGGGCTGTCTACTGTGTTCACCGCGGGAAATCAAATCTCGGATTTTAGCTTTGAAATTCCATAGACTTACCGCTGTTCCAACAGAGGACATATCGAACGGAATATGTCCATGTATTGAATAAAAACAAATTTTAAAATAATTGAATCGTAAGAGTTCGTGGACACAAGAATTTTGCTGTTTAAAGTGACATAAAATCAAAAAATTTTATTCAAAGTAAAATGATAGTTTATTTAAGTCAACGGTTAAGATTCGTCTGGGTTGGAGGTTTTATGCTACTATTTATACACTACTAATTTTATTAGAGAACAAACTATGAAACAAGGGAAAATTTTGAAACTTTGAGATAAAATAGCTGCTTTGTTCTTTGAAGTAATATGTAGCGTGTTTCTTTTAACTAACCCATGTTTATTGTTTAAATTCATCAAACATACCTTCAGTTTAAGTTTGTTTGTTTG